GAAAGAGCATCGGCATCGGCGTGCTTCTGGCCTGAGCGATAAATGAGATGGATTTCGTAACCTTGGAGCCGTAAAGCTCATCGTGCCAAGTGTCCGGAGGGATCTTTGAGGGAAACACTTCATTACAGAAGTGTTTCGAATTAAGAAAGGAGGTGATCAGTGTGTCAGCCAGGCGTCTGTTCTGCTAACAGATTTTTAATTTGCTTTTTTGGATGTCACATGACTCAGTGCATTTCTTTTTTTTGTTCTTTGGGGGCTTCGACTTGTGTTTTCCGTCTGTATGCCACCAGATATCGGAGTGGTGTTTTGTTTATTCATGCTGTTTGTGGTAATAGCAGTGCTTTGTGGTGACACGCATGCATGTTATGCATATTGTTACGATGGCCCATATGTCATCATCAACTGTTTAAGTGAGGTAAACTGTGCGATTGCACACCTTGGTGCAAGACAATGCTTATATACTGGTGTCCACAACCACACAAAATCACCAGGGGCATAGCTCACAGAACGATGCTTAATGTCGTATTGGGTCTTTGAATAAAACTTGTAGCTGGGCGAGTTGGTTCATAATACTGGGTAAACTGGTGTGCGCACAAAAAAACAGACAAACGACAGCAGAGAAGAGACAGGGACAAGCGCAGACTTTCAACTAAATTTAATTCTTCGTCAACCTTCAATTTACAGTCGCACAGAACATAGTCAAGTGGTCACGAGGACAGAACCTAATAGTTTACAACAGGCCACGCAAAAAATGACGCTCACTATCAAAAAGCGAAATGGATGTATCACTAACACAGGTATTGCCTCTAGCAGAAATATAAAACGCTTCCATCAGTTCCCGGGCTGTGGTATCAGCACTCCGACCCAAAATCCTAATCTCCGAGAAAATCGGTGAGCACGTGCAAGCTTTGCAATGCGCGGGCAAATGCGTGATCCCGTTATTTTTAAGTGACAGCTCATGTTCCCTTGCACGGTCGTTCACGCAACGCCCCGTATGACCCACGTAAAATTTCCCACAAGACAGCGGTATTTCGTAGACAACGCCCGTCGCACATTTCACATACACAAACGCGTGCTTCTTTCCGCAACCACCGGATCTCTTCTCGCCAGGGAAGATTCTGGGACAAAGTCCAGCCAACTTACGTGGGGCGGAGAACACGATCGGCACACCGTGTCTACTCGCTATCTTTTTGAGGTTGTGGGAAATGCGATGCATATAAGGCATCACCTCCGGACGCCACCTGCGACGCAGGCCAGGGTTCCCGCTGGAACGGACTGCTTTGGCATCACGCAGAAGCACTTCAGCGACTGCCGAGACTACCGTGCAAGGATACCCAGCGGCAATTAAACGCCGCACCTGATATTAAAGCTTTCTTGCATTGCATGTGAGCATGACTTCTCAAGAGCGGACCGTAGACACAGTTTGGCAATCCCCCTTTTTACTAGTTTAGAATGCGCAGAATCATAGGACAAAAGGGCCTTCTGCGCACGGGGACAATAACGCCAACATAGGTGGTCATATAAAACGAGACGTAAATCTAAAAACTGCAACGAATTATCAGTAGGAAATTCATAGGTGAAGGTCAAGCCCTTACCGCACAGTTTAAATGCATTAAGAATAGCGTCAACAGAGTTGTCCAAAGAAGTAAAATGGGGTCTCTTTAAAAGAATTAAAAAATCGTCCACATACCTAAAAACTTTAACAACGCATCTATTATCAAGAATGCTAACTAAACCCCGATCAACATCCGCCAAGAAAATGTTGCATAAAACAGGCGCCACGCACGATCCAATACAAATACCTTCTCGCTGCAGATAAAAACCATCTTTAAATGAAACAAAGGTAGAACGAAGATAAAATTCTAGTAACGACATGAAATTCTCGACCGATAAGCCGGAAGCATTTTGAAAAGCTATGACTCCATGGGTCTTTGACGTGGTCTCGGAAGCCAGTATGTATAGCCGCACTAGTTGATGAGATTCTTCCGCCCGACAAAGATTCTCCGCTACTGATAAGTTGTCAGCGCTCATCAAAATAAGGACGGTATCTAAAGTATAGCAAGAAGGACATGCGTAGAGAAAAAAGAATTGGGCTATAGCGTGGTGTTTTGTCTCTCACCGTGTTGAAGGCGTATGTTATAAACGGTAAAATCTTATTCCAGTTTAACAGTTAGACAGCACGTACATGGAAATCATGTTTGTAAGTGTCCAGTTCGCAAGCTCGGTACCTCCATTTGTTTGAGTATAGTAATGTGTTGAATGCCGAAAGGTAGAACAACATAAGCATAACTCTTTCACTACGTCTACAGTGAACTGGCACCCACGGTGGCCGGGGGAGCCCATGTCAGAGAATGACAGTATGTAGCAATAGCAGAGACACGGGAGCAATATATAATAAGAGTGTTCTTTCTGAAATGAAAATTTTTAGTTGATAGTAAGCGCTCCGTCCTGTGTCGTTTCGAACTCTTCGTAAATATTGGCGCTTGTTTCATCATGAAGTTATCAGCTGCTGCGCCAGTTGTGACGTGGGAGGCTCCCAGACGCTGTGTGCTCAGAGGCACTTGACAGCTGCTATGCTAGTTGTCACGTGATCATAGAAGGTGGAGGCGAGCTTTGGGTTTGCCGGAGCCTACGCGCCGCTTCAAGCGCCTCAGTATTCGCAATGCCCACGGGCTATAGGCGGCGCACCGTGTAATCGAAGATGACTGCGGGAAGAGGGTCAACCTGTAAACTCGCATAGGAAAAGATAAGATGCACAGACATACGCCCTGTGCCAATTTCACCAGCTGAAATCTTCATCGTCAAATGAATGTATATTAGACCAAAGTACTTTCCCAAATGACAGGAACTGCTAAATCTTCCCTACCTCATTTTTTGCCGCAGTGTGAAGCGTGGTGTTGTCAGCTAATCGACCATGCATCAACAATGACTTCTGAATACTGTGCATGCTACAGAAAACTGCATGAACTGAAATTGACGGATGAACTAAATGGCACCCCGAGATTATTTATGCCGAGCCTGCCTCAAGGATTTGCCACAGCAGTAGGCCGCTAGCGAGTAGCGCGCCATCGCAGCTGCAGGACACCGAATGTTTAACGTAGTGTTGGGTTGCAAACATATTATGCTGTCGTCGTTACTTGTGCACTCCGCATCATGGAGCTGCTTTTCCATCAGAACACAAGAATATAACTTCCCATTAAGTAGCACTTGTGTCACAGTCCTGCTCAGACTCGAACTGTATGCAATTCACTGCACTCGGATGTTGCAGCTTCTATCAGCGCGATCGCAACAAGAATATCAAATTTATACACGTATGCTTCTGGCAACGTCGAAATTGTGAAAATTCTTTGAAAGACAAGGTTGTCCGGACAATACCGGTAAAGTACAGCAGATGTTAGCAAAGAGACGTGAATTGTAGTCGCAAGTTCAGTTTCATTGCTCTAACCATTTCACTTTGCAGGTCAAGCTCGAGCATGTTGGTGGCATGCGGTGCTCCACAATATTCACTGTATTTGGGCTACATTCAATGCACGAGAAAAACTGTGCTTTTATTTTGATCTCGCTGAAGGATGTTATACTTCAAGTACAATCAAAGTGACTTACAAGCCTGAAAAAACACTAACGCACGAAGGCATCTGAAGTGCAACTCCCTGCTCGGGAGTTATCATTTGATCGTTCATCGTCGCTGTCACTCTCGGTGTATTGACAACCTTCTATCTCTAGTGAAGAATCCTCGACATCAAGATGGTTTCTGTGAACATCACTGCTGAAAGCAATCTGCGGAATTCTCTCCTCCAAGCGACTTCGACTACACCAACAATGCGTCACTCAGCCTGCACAACACCAACACAGTGTCACTCACCGCGTTTTTTTGGGTGCGGGGAACATTTCGCTCTGAAACCCGGCAACAAACGAATTTCCTGCAGTGTGGTACCATTTATCAATGAATGTAAAAAAGAAGCCGCATAACGTTGACTAAGGTTTGGAAGAGCAAACTGTGAGCCTGCGGTACTTTTCGCGTACAATGAATGTTATGAGGTTCATTTACTACAAAAGCACTTAGAAATACTATACGAACGAGAAAGAAGGAGAGTTTTAGTTGCAAAGGTCAGACGATAACATTCAACTATCCAGCGTGGCTGAAGAAAATCTCGTAAAGCCGGTATGTGTACTCTGCGGGCTATAACGGAATGCACGAGTTGCCACTTATTTTCATGAAAACTTCGCGTCTCGCAAGAATGAATCGGATTTATAGTGTCACGGACAGTCCGGTTTATTCACTGATGCACGAAACTTTCACTTGGGCTTGTGTTCATTTCTTGATGGTGCGTTAGCTCTGAGGCTAGCACAGCTGAACAAGGGAGTGCTTGCCTACTGACTATTCTCGGGATGACATTCCTGAATTCCATATGGCAACGCAACAGTCTTTGAGCATTACAAATAGCCGACGGTGGTTATAGCTGGTTTTAAGCATGGAATCGGTCTACAGATTTGTGCATTTATCGTATTGGCTTTTGCGGATATGAATTACTGTGAAGCCTTTTAACCTGGAGCCTGCGGTAGTGGCGAAAAACAAACCGAGTGCGACATGTTGAATTGACTGTAACAGCAAATAATCATAAGTCCATCTGCCTCGGTGGTTTCATAATTACGTCATTCGGCTACTTAGCATATGATGTCTTAGGTATGATTCCTGGCTCCTATATTATTCGGGGCAAGGAAAACTTTCCTGTTTTTGTGTTAGTGCCAGTTAGAACGCCAAGATTGTTATACGTATGATTACATTATGAAATGCCTTTTTATTTGATTGTTGTCCATAGTGAATTCATAAAATGTCACCGAAGCACCATAAGTGTGTAGTTTTAGGATGGCTGTAAGTCTACTTGTTAAAAGTCTGCTCATATTCGCGGCTATTTTGTTGTGAGAAGTGGTTGCTTGGTGTTCTGTGTGTGTGTGTGACCCTGTGTCTTTGTTTCTCCCCGTGCCCTTCTCCCCAACTGGCTGCACTGGGCAAGCGGAGACACCTGCAGGTAATCGCATTTGCTGCATGCGCTCTCTCGCTTGCCACTAGCTGCTTGCTGGAACACCTGTTGCTTAGCTGGGAAAAATGCTTCTGCAACTGCTGCTGCTGCTGCTTGAAGTGGGTGACACTACCAAGGGCCTTAATGAGTATTGCAGCATGCAAAAAATCTTAAGTTTCACTTCGATGAAGAGTAGCATTGTGAACGAGATTGTTTACGTTTATAGCAAAGATGAGCAGAATGAAGCATAGATGCAGGAGGACTGAGAAAGCCGAAGAATGACAAACGCTAGTGCTGACTGCCTGCGGGATTTATTGAACTCAAAACAGATACGAAATAGCCTGTATTTTAATTATGGCATCGTAAGCGCATGTCACGTACTTCCAAAGTTATGAGGCTGTCACAGTACGAGTCACGCTTGTCGAATCAGGTTTACGGTGGGCTCAAGAGTGTCCTAAGGCCAACACGTTTTTCTCCTAATTTCGTAATCTAAGGCCTTCACTACACATCGCCATTACAGTGCATGGCTTCTTCACGTGGAGTCATGCACTCTCTTTATGGAGAGAGGGCACGCAGCTTCACGTAGTCACGCAACCTCTCTATGCATAGGGAGAGGGCCCGGGCGTTGCATGAGAAAGCTATGCGCTGCAACGTGTGGTCAGCCCTTCACACCTCGGAAGTCTGGCGTTGCTTTTTTGCACAATCTTTCTAATACACAGGCTGACAGGTGGAACTTTGTGACTTGCTCGTTTGCTAAAAGGACATTTCAAGGGCATAGTTGGGGCATATTGACAATAAGTACTTGTTGCAAGAAAAAAAAATGCAGCACACAAGACATGCAAGGGACAAGCGCTTCCTACAACTGTTTATTCCACAATGTCGTGATGAAACATACATATGCATGCGGCACATGCACAGATGCGGTCAATAAAACAAGCAAGGAATTAATCAAATTAGAGCAGATTTTCCATCGTATATAGGTGTTGGGAAATCTAAATTTATGCGCATGCAGAGTGATAACATACCCCTACCCCTCTCTTTAACGTGAAATCCGTCCTTTGTGGAGACAGAGTTTGCTAACTGCTTACCTTACGAAGCGACCGGGAAAGGACGCGACAATATCTACTGCTGTCATGCGGAAAGACACAATAGCCAGGTTGTTCGACTCCCCGACATGAAGCAGAGATGGCACTAGAGGCAGGTTGTCAACAAACACGGGTTCATTTGCCCAAGATACAGCACGATGTAACAAGCACGGGCTTTTGGACCGGGAGAGAACTTCACAAGACCGACCGAGTGTATGCTTGTCAACAGCCTCTAGGGCTATCGCACAAAAGGCGGGAGCCGAGCGTCCATACGAGAAGCCACCTGCTAAAGCAGCGCATCAACCTCTCATTCAGGCCTGTACGCATCTCCTGCCGGCGCACGACGAGCGAATGCAAGCTATCTGAAGAGAAGGCTCACAAGTGGTGAATTACGATTGGCAGAGCCCCGTGATGTAAGCTAGCGTGACATAAATGGGGAGGCGCTTTCTCGGGGCAAGTTTGGACATGAATCTCCATGTGGGATAACCAATTCCACAGCTCGCAGCAGACAAAAGAGCCTGGCAGCGAAACCAGTTTCACTGCCAGGCTCTTTTAGCCAAAACCTCTTCGCTGAACAGCGAAATCAAAGCTATGCTATCCAGCAATGCCACTAACTCTCGACCAGAGATTGTAAAAGCGATTAACGGTGCCAGAGGTTAGGTTACATGCTCATGTTTCTATACTGCTGTAGCTGCCGGCGAGGGGGAGCTCATGGATGGCTCATCCCGTTTCTCGGCAGGCAAGCTTGGCCTTGCGTCGGTTGTAGCGCGCCACATGTTTGCATGATGTGGCCACACTCATGACAGCGGTAGCAGATGATGCCTTTTCCGCCATCAAAGGGGGATTTCGATGCTTCATGAGAGCTGAAAGGCCTCCATCCGCTATATGCAGGCGGGGCTCCGCGATTGGATCTTCCCTCGTCCAATAAACAATTGTATCGGGCCAGTTGGTAAGGATCCATCTTGCTAGGAAGCGCAGCCACTATTACAAAGAACACACAACACAAGCGCTTAACTTCAACTAAACGTTTATTGCAAACGTCAGAATTTATAAAGGGGCTGAAAAGAAAAAAAAAGAAAAAAAGAATACAAAATGGTAGACAACAAAAATCACACGTGCCAGTCCCGTACATTACTATTCGTTATTGTCTATCACCCCATCCAAAAAGCATAGTTCTTTCCGCGTGAGCGAGATAGAGGGTGCACTAATACAATCAAAATCATCGCGTGTCATTTCAGCCGCTTCTACTATCAAACGGGTTAACAAATCTCTCTCCCGATTCAGCACGCACGTGTTATCGAAACAAAGTGCACAACCGCACTCCTTACAGTGGATCGCCAAGTGACCATCGGTACCCTTCTGCACTTTATTGTGGTGCTCTTTTAGCCTTTCATTAATGCATCTTTCAGTTGTTCCCACATAAACAAGACCACATGACAAGCGCACTCTGTAAACAACCGACTGCGCACACTCAACATATTTAGTGCGATGCTTAATTTGGCAACCTTTCTTTTCTTTTGAAACAGGACAAGTTTGGTGACATATTCTGGACAGTTTTTCAGGAGCAGACATAACTACTCAGACGCCCACCTTATTACCAATCTTTTTAAGATTGTGTGCCACACTATGGATATAGGGGACAACAGCCGTTTTACGTTGCTGCAGGGAAGTGTTAATACGCTGCCTATTTTGTTTCTTCAGGTCCCTATGTAGCGATTCAGCGACGCTTATAACAATTCGTTGCGGGTAGCCTGCTGCCTTCAGTCGCAAAACCTTTTGCTCAAAGCTCTTCTTCATAAGGTGAAAACAGGACTTCTTCGACGAATTAAAAAGGCACATTCTTGCAACAGACCTCTTTACTACTTTGGTTGCTGTTTTGACACTTGGAGTATTTGAGACAATTTGTCAGCCTCTGAAACTAACACATGAAGTGCCCTATGGTGATACGCTGAGGTTCCTAGATCTGTTGTTGCAATTTCAAGATGACGATGTTTGTTGGCTTTATGAGCCCAGGAGCAAAAAGCCATTGTTGCCTTTTTCTTCTGCCCATACCAAAGTAGTGAAGAGGTCTGTTGCACGAATGTGTCTTTTTAATTCGTTGAAGAAGTTCTGTTTACACCTCATGAAGAAGAGCTTTGAACAACAGGTTTTGCGACTGGTAGGCTACCCGCAACGAATGATTATAAGTGACACTGAATCGCTACATAGGGACCTAAAGAAACAAAATAGGCAGCGTATTAACACTTCCATGCAGCAACGTAAAACGGCTGTTATTTATGCGCATGCAGAGTGATAACATACCCCTACCCCTCTCTTTAACGTGAAATCCGTCCTTTGTAAAGAAAGAGTTTGCTATCTGCTTACCTTACGAAGCGACCGCGAAAAAACACGACAATATCTACTGCTGTCACGCGGAAAGACACAATAGCCAGGTTGTACGACTCCCCGACACGAAGCAGAGATGGCACTAGAGGCAGGTCGTCAACAAACAATATCCATAGTGTGGCTCACAATCTTAAAAAGATTGGTAATAAGGTGGGCGTCCGAGTGGTTATGTCTGCTCCTGAAAAACTGTCCACAATATGTCACCAAACTTGTCCTGTTTCAAAAGAAAAGAAAGGTTGCCAAATTAAGCATCGCACTAAATATGCTGAGTGTGCGCAGTCGGTTGTTTACAGAGTGCCCTTGTCATGTGGTCTTGTTTATGTGGGAACAACTGAAAGATGCAATAATGAAAGGCTAAAGAAGCACCACAATAAAGTGCAGAAGGGTACCGATGGTCACTTGGCGATCCACTGTAAGGAGTGCGGTTGTGTACCTTATTTCGATAACACGTGCGTGCTGTATCGGGACAGATATTTGTTAACCAGTTTGATAGTAGAAGCAGCTGAAACGACACGCGCTGATTTTGATTGTGTTAGTGCACCCTCTATCTCGCTCACGCGGAAAAAACAGTTTTTTGGATGGGGTGATAGACAATAGCGGATAATAATGTACGGGACTGGCACGTGTGTTTTTTGTTGTCTACCAATTTTTATTCTTTTTTTTTTATTCTTTTTCTCTTTTCACCCATTTATAAACTCTGACGTTTGCAATAACTGTTTAGTTGAAGTTAAGGGCTTGTGTTGTGTGTTGTTTGTAATAGTGGCTGTGCTTCCTAGCAAGATGGTTCCCTCGTCCACTGGGGCACAGGGATCTCATTCTCATTCGCCCTGCAGGGCAAAGGGACCCCTGTCGTACGAGTGTGGGTCGAAAGCGCGGTCCGACACAGCGGGCGCGTCTCGTTGTTCTCTCGTAGCCGAGGCCACCTCGTGATTAGGCAGAACGCGAGGTGATGAGTCATCGCCAGCCCAATGTACAGTGAGGCTCGAGGGAAGCGGACGGTGATGGTGGTGGGCGGTAAGCTTTTGCCGACAGTATGTCGCCCTAAATCCGCTTCGCATTGGAGGCCAGCTCGTGGGTTGGAGGAGTCTGGTGAATGGCTCGCTCCAGCTTTTCTGCGTCTGATGCCATAGGGTCGGCAAGAAGGTAGAGCTCTTGCAATGTCCAGATGTACATTAGAAGAGATTCGTCAGTAGCTTGCGATGCATGCGGCACTTGTAGTCAGGAGGAAGGAACACGCTCCAGAAGAGAGCTCTAAACTTCTTCATCGACTGAGTTTGGTGGCCGACAAGTCACTATCACCGCGCCGCTTGTGCTGTCAGTGCAACAGGCAACACTGTCTAGCATTACGCTGTCGCTCAGCCGCATTGCCTGCTGATAGAGGTGCAATCCCTCGAAGTACTCCGTGGCACTCATATAGTCCGAATGACCACTGTACTATGGTAGAGGTACCTTAGGCTGCTTGAAGCACTTGGCTGAGGGGACTCTGGGTCTTCCTTAACAGCACAACGCTGCGAGCATTCGGCTTCCAACAAGGCATTA